TCCCTGATGTTTTTAACTATCTCAGAGTGACTCAGCACTGAACAATACAGAAAACTTCGGCTTCTGTTATTGATGCAATTATGTAGTAAGGCAGGAGTCTAGATAATGTGATCTTTTTCTTAAATTAGAAAATTGTGTGTGTCTTTTGAAGTTGAATGTTCCTAGATGATGTCCATGATATTGTTTTCTTAGTTTCAATTCTATTTTTAAATTTCATACTACTACTTTAAATTTTCTAGTTCTACACTGCTGCATTGATAAAGCAATTGCCATGATGCCATGTAATGCAGTATCTATAGGTTACACCTATAAAATGAAGGTGCCAGAGAAGCTGAGTTGAAGACTGTAGTCAGGCAGGGGTTTTATGCCAGTGTGATACTTAAGGTATTCGACTGCTGTGTTGTGATACTGTGTTGTGTGTCTTCCTTAGCTTTGAGAGTGAAATCTGCAGTTTCCTCTTTTTTTTTTTTTTTTTCCAGAAAAGGTTTTGAAATGGTCCCCTGCTTGCTTTTTGCCTAACACAGTGTTTGTGGAATTGCTGGGGAATTGTACATTAACAGGACTAAGGCATCAGCTGGTTAATTTGTAACTTTTGCCATTAGCAGGATAGATGTTGTCCTTTTCCCCTTCCTCTCTGTCCTACAATCAAGATTGGCCTATGTCCTGACTTCCTAGCTCTGCTGGGAGCCCAAGGGCCAAGATCTCTTTGGTGACTGAGCCCAATTTCCGAGTAGGAGAGACAGGGATGCCTGTAGGGTTGGGGTGCTGCTAGTCTGTATTCTTGGTTATGCTGAGAGAAAAGGAATTTGGGAGTTGTCTTTTGCAATAAAGCAGTGTGTTTGACACAAGGGTGAGGGCTTGTGCTTCGTGTGAGCAGTCTGTGTTGGAGTGTTATGCTGGGGTGTCTTTGGCTGAGGCAAATGCAGATTCTTTTCCCCAACAGCTGCTGCTGCTGCTGAGCATGTTATGGATAGTCCAAGGTAAACAGGGTACACTTGTCTTTGCTTACTTTAACAGATAGTTTTTCAGATGTATTTTAAAATTGACCTCAGTAGCAATATTCACCTTCATTGGCTTTGTAGCAACCTGCCCAGTGGAGTTCTGAAATGCACTGGCAGATTTTTCTGAGCTGTTTTTTCCTCCCTCCTTAATGGGATGACCCAGTTATGCTTCAGAAATATCCAAGTGTTTGTCTCCAGAGGCATTTCATGTCCTTGTGTCAGTGAGTGGCAGACCTTCTTGCTGTCTGACTTTTGCTGTCCTCCTGCCTGTTTGGATTGAATGGGAGGAAACAGTCCATCTGTTCAATAATCATCTGGCCACATGTGTTGAAAGTTTGTCTTATTAAGCAAGTCACTGCTTTGCAAGTATCCAGACCTGTGAGCACGTTTTGAGTGGATTGTAGTTGATACTGAGGAAACATAAGAGTGGAATGAGGTAGGGGAAAGAAGACTTGGCATATCTGTAGCATCTCCAAGTTCACACAATGTGCAATGTGAGGCTCAGGCTATAATTTAACTTATGCACTAACCTTATCTGGCAGCAGGACTTAGGAAGCTGGTCAGAGCTCATTCAAGAAAAAAGGGCGCTCTGAGCAGCGCAAACCTTCATCTCCCAGGGACTGCCAACTCTGATCAGGATGAGAGGCATGCCAGAGGACTCCTTGTTGAAACAGATCTGAACACATCTGAAGCTTCATCCCTGAAAATGAAAGTAGAAAATTAGAAGATTTCTTTTTCATCTATATTTCACCCATATTTTTGTCATATTTTCCTTGTTGACAGTCTGAGCTCTACCAGAAATGGTTTGAGAGGTTTTGTTTTGTTTTTAACTAAGGCAAATGCTAACCACAATACCTAGATATAGTGATATAGGTTGCAAGTACAAACTGTAATTTGTATGACATAATTATATATAACACAGAAAGGGGGCAGTGCTGTAACAGTCAGATGCCCCTGTAAAAAAACAGAATTCCTTTCCACAAAACTTACTTAATTTACTGATTTCAGACAGTAAATTAAAGCTGTGCTTGTCAAGTAGGACAAAAGGTTGCTTGTCTATATCCTATAGATAACTGCTTATATCTAACCTGTTTGTTGTTGCTTCTTATTTTTTATTTAAGGACAAAAGAATCAGTGAATTGACAGTACAGGACTTGCTAAAGATGTCATTTCCAGTCCACTGATAAGAAAAAGGAGCGCTTAAGCCTCTCTGATCAGTCTTTTTGCAAGATGGAGCACTTTATGATGCTGATATATATAGAGCATGCAGATCTACTGATCCAATCTGCGTATGGGAGCATTTTACATCAAAAATATAAGTCACACAAGTGACGTTTGCTTTTTGTGGCCATGTAGAGCAAAAACAGGTCAGAGTTCATTGTACAGTAGTATGGTTTTCAAACTTGGCGTGCAGGCAGGGAAAGACTGGGAGGTTGCATATGATTTTTTGCGCTGCTTTTTGATAAAGAAGTGTGGCAGTGTAGTGGCAGTAATTATCCACTGAAGTGAAATAATCTCAGAAAGTGATGGACCTGCACCTTTACTGCCCTTGCTCAGTTGCATGGGAGTTGAATTGAGAAAATGCCTTTCTGTTTGTTTGGCAGTAGATATTATGAAGGTAAAGAATGTGTCTATATAACTTTTCCCACCTGCCCTCATCCAACTTGTGCCTTTCTTTTTGTTTTAGCTTTGTTCTCTTTGCTTAAAATCTGCTTTTAGGGGCAGTCTTTAAGTGTCCAGCCTTACTGCTTGGGGTGGGGAGGCACTTCAGTGCGTGTCTACTCTGCCCACATGCCACAGGCTGGGAGCTCCGACGCTTGTGCAGAGGGTGCAAGAATCGGCCCTTAGCGGCTGTGTGGAAGTGCTGGACAGAACCGCGATCACAAATCTCCCTGTGCTCCAAGCTCCCAGTGCTCTCTGTGCTTCGGGGGTAAAACTTCCCTATTAGCATGACATTCACTGACTTCACAACATGAAGGCACATGTCTGTTGCTATTTCACCTATTAATCTGCCAAAAAGGCCTGGCCCCCATAAATGTACACAACACTGATACTGGGCTTGTCCCAGGGCAGTGGAATTTAGTAATTTTAAGCAAATGGAGCACTGTGCTAATGCTGAATGATACTATGCGAGTCTTTCAAAATACTGGTACCAAAAATACCACGATACTAAAGATGACATATATTTTTTTCTTTAGTATTAGCTTGTCATTCAGTTGCTTTTGGGCATAAATAAAACTTACTATGAGTAAATGATATGAAGGAGGAAAAATTCAGGCAGAACAGTAAGGGAAATCGTCCTGATAGGTGTGATATCATTGAAGCGTTTTATATAAAATGTTTTAGGCTGTATTACTTGGGTTTCTTTCCTGTTGTTTTGTACAGTTTAATTTTAAGTTCAGTAAACTGGGGGGACAGGAATCGGGCAGGACACTTCTCCACAGTTTTTGAACTCCTTTGGGACTTTTCATCTCTAATCCAGAATAGGAAGTAGAGATTGCATCTTCTTGGTGGGAATTAGCGATGAAGTGCTGTGCTGTAAACTGCTCATTCACTGTGTTCATAGAACAAAGTTGTTTTTTTCTGAACAAAGATGCAAATTCTCTTCAAAGATACTTCACAGATCAAGAGCGCCTTGATAGTCAACTGACCATCCTGAAAGAATAATTTAAATGTCCTTAATAGTTCTGCAAGCACTGTTTGTCTGTAAAATGTGCCTTTTAGGGAAACTTGAGTGAGCTTTTTTCCACCCCAGGGCCGTGTCTCTGCAATGAAGAATATGTACTAGATTCTTTTTAATTCTTCCTGCCCACCAGCTATTAGTGATTAGCCAGGTGTGCTGACTTCAAAGGGGACAAATATTTGCTGGGCTGAGACAGAGACCCCACTTGGGAGTTGGTTTCCCTCAGGTGTTGTCTGATGTGCTTTATTAGATTTTAAATGAAAACATAATCCAGGAATAGAACAACAACAACAAAAAAAAGTCCTGTAGATGTTCAAGCCGGCAGCTGTGTCCTGACCAATCTTCTTTTAAGGAGAACACAGAGTAGTATTTCATAATTCATCACTTTCATAAGTTTATCCTCTATCTCAATTTAAGTTCAGGGTTTGCTTGTCTCTGAAGAGTCAGGGTGCTCTTGTTTAGATTGTGATGGTGTTGATTGTCATTGCCTGGAAAAATAGCTGTTTGCACTCAGCAACAGAATTCCAACAGAAGTAGTGATAGTTCTGAAAGATACTTGAGAACGTTTTCCTCATGGAGCTAAAATACCATGCCTGAGCGTAGATCATTGAATTTTAATTTTAAACCAAGGATTTTAATAATGCCTCCTCAGTGCTGTTGGTGACTGCAGTTCTGGAGTGTATATTTGTAGAAAAACCTTACACTTAAATAGGTTTGATTTGATTCACATAAAAAGAGCTGCATGTAAGACTTCTGACCTCTAATGGTCAGAAAGAGAAGTAACCTGTGATGAGGATAGAAAAACCAGCACTCAGCACAAGGATTGTGGTGTTAGAAATTTTGCCGTGATTGCGAGAGAATATGACCCAACAGTTTTGAAAGGTGTAATAAACCTGGTCCACCTTTATTTCCTACAATAATGAGCTTGACTCTGTACCACAAATGACAGAAAAGTTTGTTCTTTGTGGCGCATTTAGTGTCATTTTTGAAGTAACATAGAGGGGGGGAAAAATCATCTTTTAGTTTTAAGTATTATTATATTTAAAGACTTTAGAGGGTCTAAATCTCACTTGAATTCCTTTAAAAGCTCAATGAAGGAGCCTGTAGGAAGGGGCAGGGAGACAGCTGGAGCTATATTGAAGTTTTAACTGCACTCAATAGAGGTTCAGTAACTCCTATGCTTGAAATTATTCAACGATTTTTTTTTTTTAACCATACGCTGTTAAGTTTGGCGTCTGGAGATGAGGAGGAGTTATTTTTGAGGTAAGAGGTCGTCTTTTGGGGTGAAATTGAGGATGCTGTCTTTCCTATTGCAGGCAAAACGAGCAGTACAGCGAGGAGCCACAGCAGTCATTTTTGATGTTTCTGAAAACCCAGATGCCATTGATCAGGTATGAAGAAGGATCTAGTCTTATTCAGCCTCAGGGCTTGCTGTTCTTAGGGCTGCTGAGGTAAGACTTGGGAGCATGTAGCATCTCACAGCAAAACCTACCTGAAGACATACTTCTGACTCTGGGTTTTTGTATTCTTGTTCAGGCAGACAAGAAGCAATGGAGGTGTTGAGAATGCGAAAGAGGGAAATTTGAGAAGTATTTTTTTTAGGGTGCTGCTAAACAGAGAATCCAGGATTGGGGTTTTGAGAAAAGATGGAGGAAAATTTTAGTGGCCCATTATCTAGTTAAGAACTTTTCCCACCTGTGTGTACAAAATACTGTCTGTTTGGACCTACCCCACTTGAAACTGATGATTCTCACTAGAAGCAGCCACTGTCAATCAACCACTATTTTTGAGGTTGCAAAGTGGCTTCCAAGCCTTATTCTAAACAAGATTCTTAGGCAAGTTCTAAATTTTTTTTTTTTTTTTTTTTTTTTTTTTTTTTCCCCGCTCAGCTGATGATTTCTGGGCTACATCTTTAGTAGGCAAGTAGGATACATTTAGGTTAAAAAAGCTGAAATGAGCAACTCTTGGACAAATGAATGCATACCCTGTGCAATGGATACTTTGAGAACTGTATAGCCTTGTATCAAGGCTATACAATTTTGATCTGGCAAATATTCTCAGGAATATTTTTTTCTTCCTTTTGTACATCAAAAATTTATCTGCACAAAGCTGATTTTTTTTCTTTTTATTTTTTGTCCAGTATTTTATCTGATTTATTTTGCAATTCCTTTCAGCAGCTCTGTTCTGAACTTAGGTAGCTGAGTCAATGATTGCTGCTCCCTAACATTTACCATTAGCGACTGTCCTTGCTTGATTTTTGATAGTAACTTGGGTGCAACTATCCCCAAAAGTTGAGAAACTGGTAGCAGAACATAATTTTGTTTTTTTACTTTTCTATACTCTAATATGTAGATCAGCAGTTTGGCTGCTTTGGTTGTTCTGGGAAATTTTGTAGTCTCTATCCTTGAGAGCTTTCCAGAGTGATCCGGTTGACCCTTCTTTGAGCAGGAAGCTAGACTTCAGAGGTCCCTTGCAACCTGCAATAATTCTCACACCTTATGGTTTTGCCTTTCAAAAGAGCTCAGCTGGACCTGGAAGGCTACTGCAGGGCAAATTAAGCTGTCTATTTGTATGTGCTACAACCCAAGTAACTGCTTGAATGAGTTTGTGGAATTAAGTACCAGAATTTACAAAGCTGATTAAATGAGCAAAGTAAAAATAACCTAAGTAGTGGGAATTCACACACTTGACAAGAGATTGTTCATAAAGCTAAGAAGTATGTATATAAAGAATATATCTTCAAAGTTGAAGTAACAGAAGGGTCAGAAAATTACTAAGTTGCAAGGCTGATTTTTATTGGAATAGTGCAGATTTTTATTTTCTTCATTATAAGAGTTTATTATTTTATTAAAATATGCACTGGCACATAATGCACTTAAGTTAAAGCTGCTGTTCAGAAGTCAAAATCAGGCTCAAATGTGTGAACACTTAGGTGAAGGTTTGTGCTAGAAAAGAACAGCTGATGTTTAAACCATTTCAATCTTCATACACCTTCCTTTTATCTCTTTTCTCTGAAAGAGATTTATTTGTCCTGAAACATGCCTTCGAGTAAATTATTCCTTTATGTTCTAGCTGAACCAAGGCTCAGAAGACCCTCTGAAGAGACCAGTGGTGTATGTGAAAGGTGCTGATGCTGTTAAGCTAATGAACATAGTTAACAAGCAGAAAGTGGCACGAGCAAGAATTCAACATCGTGCTCCACGGGTGAGACTTTAAGAAACCTTATCTAGGTATTACACCCTGCTGCTTTTTCCTGCAGTGCTTATTAACTGCATTGTTTAGGAAGATGTCTGATGCATCCTGTGAGCACTAGTAGATGCAATTCTATTCTACATTCTAAATAGAATTAACTAACTACATCAGGCAAGTAACTGCATCCTCAGTGTGAGCCATGCTGTCTTTCATAAGGATCCTCTGTAATTTGTAAATGGCCTACTATTTTATATAACAATTTTCCTTTTTCTTAATTATTGTGTACTCCTCGGAATTCAGATTTATAAGATAGTCTTCACAGTGTTAACATGTCTTCCCTAATAATTCTTATATAGCATTTTAAGCATGAGTTGATTATTTGGTATCTGAAAATTATAATATTTTTTCCTCAAAAGCATGTCTTGCATGTAGTTTACATGAGCAGAACCCATTTTCAGTTTTATTTTTGTTGTATTCTTGTGGAATTCTTTTGTTAAGAAAAACGAAGTGCATGGGGAAGTTTGCTGAAAATTCAAATTTAGATTTTTGCTTTCATACATATGCAAGCAAACCAGTGACCCATGAAAATTTGTATTGGTATGATTCACTTGGGGAAAAATTACTGCTTTTTGTGGGATCAGTTCAGAGATGCTATAAAACTCAGCTCTATGACTGGCAATGTCTATATTTCACTACCTTGCTGTAAAGTATGAAGGCCTGGTTTTGTCTGATAGAATCATGGTAAATGAGCAAAACAGTGTGTGCTTTGACTCTTGCCTTTGGCACTTTATGTATATGAATCAACCACTGAGAGAGTAGAGAAAAGAAAGGAACATAGATTTGAATATGATCTAAAGAGAGGAAAAATAATATTTTTGTTTTATTTTTTAAGCAACCTACTGAGTACTTTGATATGGGAATTTTCCTGGCCTTTTTTGTGGTTGTATCTCTTGTTTGCCTCATTCTTCTTGTCAAGATCAAACTGAAACAGCGACGTAGTCAGGTAAGACCAGTAATGGCATATTCTTTCAATGCTGAAAGTTATCTGTCTCTTACTTTTATTCATAGAACTTGGTCACTACTTCTGGAATGGAGGACGTTAATATATGCGTATATAAAGTATAAAAAGAATGCAAGCATTGTTATGCTTAGCACTCTTCACTTGCACATCTTGCATAGTAATCCAAGATATTATGGGCCAACAGCACGTAGTAGGAGTGTTAGAAAGAGGAATGATGTAAAATGGAAACAATTCACTGCCTTTCTAGATTTTCAAACTAAACTGTGATGGGGGAGGAAACCGAAATGAAATAACTAATTCAGTAACATTTTGTTTTAATTTTCGTCTGAAATACTGCCTCTAGTAATGTGGTGGTAATACTGTAATGGGGCATTACAATCAATATTGACAGATGAAAAAGTCCCTCACCAAGTTCTATATGATGCCTTAAGTAGTTGCTGACTATCAATTAAGCAATTGCAGTGTATCCCAATTGTGTGCACCTTTACCCCGTTTCAGTTTGAATTAACTCATGCAAGTGGCATAGATTTATAGTTTTTTTTCATTCTAGTTAGCCTTCACTCTGCTTAATATATGAAACTGTACATCAGTCTGAACCTGATGTGGTGAGATGAGTTAATCTGATATGATGGTGTTTCTCTGCTCCTACAATCCCTTATGCTGCAGTGTTGCCTTTCTTCTCCCCCTCCCCCCGCCTTTTTTCTTCCTTTTTCTTTTGTAGAATTCTATGAACAGGCTTGCAGTGCAAGCACTGGAAAAAATGGAAACAAGGAAGTTTAAGTCCAAAAGTAAGGGACACCGGGAAGGTAGCTGTGGAGCACTGGACACGCTCAGTAGCAGCTCGACCTCTGACTGTGCCATCTGCTTGGAGAAGTACATTGATGGGGAGGTAAAGGATAAGTAGTTTCTTCAACCTGGCTGAGAGTATGACTGAATTATTTTCAGCACTGTGGCAAACAGCTGACTGTTTGGTACATTGTGTATTGAGGCTGAGGGTTGCCAAACAGATTGCGTTGAGTAGCCTACTTGGAGACAGCCTCAACTGCGTTCTGTAGCTCCCAAGTGAAATCTCAAGGGTTTTACTACGTTACAGAGATAGAGTTGAGGGAAATCTGATGATTGCTTTATTTTGCAAAATGCTACTGAAACGAAGCAATGAAGGATATGAAATAAAAAGTAGGCCCCCTACTTTCTAGAACAAAAGCAGTCAAAATTTACAGCTTTAAACTTCCATATAAAAATCAATTTGAGGGCATATTCTTTAGAAGTAGTTCTTAAAACATTCATTCTTTTTTAGGCAATAGAAAATATCATCTTTGATAGTGTCTGAGGGCTACAAACTCTGAGCAGAGGGTTAATGAAGTTGGCTGATGGGGGGTTATTTAGAGAAGCAAGAATTAGGGCAGTTGGTACAAACCTGACTGGACAATAACTATGTTTATGGACTTCAATGTGAAGTGATGCTCAAAGAGAAGAACATATAGTAGCTTCAATATATAAGGTGATCTGTTGTGAGCTGAGCATTATCATTCAGGAACAAGATCCTGAGGCTGTTGTAGGGACTTCTGAGAAAACAGTTCAGTTTTGAGTGCTTTGTAGCAGTCAAAAAGGCAAATCAGGTACTAGGAATGAGAAGGGAAAGTCTGAAAAACAGAACAGAAAACAGTTATGCCATTTCATAAGTTCAAGATTTTTCTCTCGTTGAATACTGTGTGCACTTCTGATCCCCTCGTTTCTGGAAAGGTATGCTGGAAATGAAGATGCTTCAGAAAAGGGCAGTCACAAAGTGATGAAAGATTTGGAATGGCTTGTTTGAAAGGAATGACTAAGCTGGCTAGGAGTATTTAGTCCTGATCTGGAAAGAAAAATGTTATGGAGGAGAGGTTAGGATTAGATCATATCTCTTGTGATAGAGAATCATGAATGGAGAGCATGAACAAGAATCAGATATTCATTGTTTTCCAGTCCAAGACTGGGGACAATTAAATGAAGCTGACAGGGCCCAATCTGAAACAAAATGTGGTGGTTCTCCTCCAAAAGGTAGTAGTCCTTTGGAACTCCTTTGTCAAAGTGTGTTACAAATGCTGATCCTTGAGTCAAGAGGAGATTGGAGCAATGCTTGGAAGAAAGATTTGCTGAGGGTTTCTGAACAGATACATGCTCAACACAAAGCAGTTAATAGTTAAAGGATAAGAGTGCTGGGCAAGGGATGAAGTACAATATATGCTGTCTTTCTTACTTTTCCTTGGGCTTTTGCCCTGGCTATTATTGTTAGCCAGAAATTGAGAGACAAGAGATGTATAAGATAAGATATAGCATTATTGACTGTGCATATTGAAGGGACTTTTTTAAAATAAAGGTCATGGACTGTATTAAGGAAAACTTTAATGATAGGCTCCTCCAAAGTCTTAGGGTGGGGTACATAGCAAAAAGCATCCTAAAGACATGTAGGGCAGCTCTATGGAGTTCTAACATGTCTGCAAAACATTGTGCTAGTGACTACTGAATCACTCTAGTCACTGTGGTTTGAAACAGACAGCATTTCTTCCTTTTTAATCACTTCTTTTTGAAACTAGGATTTGATTTGTTTACTAGGTAGATTGAAAAAAATGAATAAACTGTGGGTATTCACTGCTTAAGAAGCAGGGTTTTTTTCTTCTGTGTCCCTGCTTTATTTCCTGTAGGAGCTTCGTGTCATTCCCTGCACTCATCGGTTTCACAAGAAATGTGTGGATCCATGGCTACTGCAGCATCATACCTGCCCTCACTGCCGTCACAACATTATAGGTGAGTGTTGATGTTCACTTGACACTCAGATGCTCGCTTGTGTGGCCTATTTTGGACTTCACAACCTACAAGATGAAACAGAAATTGTGCCAGTATGTAAATCCCCATACAGTCCATAATCTTCATTGTAATGCAACTCTAGTTAGGGGTAGTAAGCTCTTTAGAAATGACTGCATGCCCCCCAAAAAAAGGGTTGCATTTATGATTTTCCCTTGCTCTGGGCCCTGTGCCCTGCAGAGGGCAGCATTGGTCAGCCTCTGAATGGCAGAAGGCAAAATAAACTTGAACGGGTGTGTGTGTTTTCTCTTCCTAAATTTGAAGAAAAGGAAATGCACTTTTTGATTTCTTCTTTGTATTTTAACTTGGAATATGGTTTTCCTTTTCTTCTCCTTCTTCCAGTTCCTACAGCTGGAAAATGTTTTCTGTTAATCCATATTTATAGAAAGTAACATATAAAGTGAAAAGTTAAGCCGATTCTGAGCCTTGATCTTAACCTGCAAGATCAAAACTGTTATTTAAGTAGCAGTCTTTACATGTAGAAGAATATTATCAGCAGTCACTTCGCTGCTATTTCTTTTCTAGTAAATGAACTGAAGTATTTCAATAATTTCCTGTCAGAGGCACTTACTTGACTTTGTTTTGTTTCTTTCTCTAACACATTGATTTTTTTTTTGATGTAACTCTATTGTGCCCAAAATTTAGAATTTAGAATCAAGTATCTGTCATTCCTCCATAAAGTACTTCCAGTTTTCCTCCCTCCTATGCCCAATTCTCCATCCTTATTTCTCCCACTCAGAACAGAAGAAGGGAAGTGCTGGTCCGGTCTGTCTGGAACCCACGAACCCAGCACGCAGCCGACAGCAGAGGGTGATTCTGCCTGTGCATTATCCTGGCCGAGTACACAGAGCAAACCAAATTACAGCATATCCCACCCGGACAAGCATGGACCCTCGTGGAAACCCTATCACGGTACTAACAGTTGACCGGCATGGTGAACAGAGCCTTTACCCAGCCCAATCCTCAGCATATATCCGAAGTTATCAGCCGATTCATTTGGACCATGCATTAAACACACATCACTGTAGCCTGGAACATAGGGCTTACTCTCCAGCTCATACCTTCCGAAGATCCAAATTCCAAGGACGCAACTTTTCCAAGACAGCGTGCTTTACCCAGTATGAGACCATGTATCAGCACTACTACTTTCAAGGCCTTAGTTACCCTGAGCAAGATGGACAGCCTCCAGCTGGCATTTCCTCGAAGGGTCCTTCCCGTGCCTTCCAGCCTGGTAGCGGCATGCTTTTCCCTCCAGTGGTACATGTAGTGCCCTCATCCCGTTTGGAGAGTGGCAGTACCTCCAGCTTTAGCTGCTATCATGGTCATCGTTCAGTGTGCAGTGGATATTTGGCTGACTGCCCTGGGAGTGACAGCAGCAGCAGCAGTTCTGGTCAGTGTCACTGCTCCTCTAGTGATTCCATGGTTGACTGCACTGAGGTCAGCAATCAGGGGGTTTATGGGAGCTGCTCCACCTTCCGTAGCTCTTTGAGCAGTGACTATGACCCTTATATTTACCGTAGTAAGAGCCCTTGCCGAGTGGGTGAGGTTGGTGGTGCAAACAGGGGTGCAATTGTTCTCTTCGAAGGCCCCCGTCAGGACGAGCTTCCAGCTCATGGTCGCAGCCTGGTGAGTGCTGACTGCCGGCCTGTACCAGCTTCTTCCTCAGGGGACCAACTGTCTAATTGCAGCATGGATATGAACTATAGCAGTAATTCCTCACTAGAACACAGGGATCCAAATGGCACTACCTCAGAGGGAGGATCTGAGGCCAGTCCTGGTGCTGCCTTGGATGTTAAAAGGAACTGGAAGAATCCAGAGTTAGCAGGGCCACTTATAGAGCAAGCATGTGCCTGTTGCTTTGAACTCCAGCACTCTACCCTGGAGCCTAGTAATGGGGCAGCTGACTGTAGTGCACTCTTCCTTAGCTCTCCACTATGGGGAACATGTGGCCCAGGGATGGAGCCACAGTCAGGGAGCACACAGGGCTTGTACAGTATTAACTCAGACCACTTGCATAGGACAGATGGGGTAAATTACGAGGGGTTGCCCTGCTGCTTCTATGAAGAGAAGCAGGTAGCCTGTAGTAGCAACAGTGGCAGTGGAGGTGGTGGCTGCTATACAGAAGACTATGCAGTGAATGTGCAGTATACACTTCCTGATGACACCTTGCCCAGCTGCTGTAAGGGTGTATGTGATCTGGGTCAGCGCATTCCCATCATTCCTGAAGACAGAGACTATGAGCTGATGTTACCCACAGAGTGCCAAGGGACCTACACAGGAGGCTGCAGTTCCTGGGATGGAACACCTGAGCTAGATACTTATCTGCACTGCCAAGGTTTAGGAGAGGTACAGGATGAGAGGGAGGTGTGTTACGAGGCATCGTCTTTCCTGCGTCAGAATTTCTCTCAGGAGGAGGAAGCCAGAATGCTCTTTCCCAGTCCCAGTTTAAACTCCCAGAAGCTGATGGTGACCATGACCACAGGTAATAAGTGTGCTGTTTTTTATTACTCGCTAACTTTCTGTTATAGCATAAAAATTGCAAGGTTTCTGCCAGCTGCCCAGGTATGTGCACCCATAGAGGTTACTGCCATCCTATACCTAAGAGTAGATTGATGACTAATTCTCCGCCTAAGAGTGATACTTTCTTCTCTTGTTACCATCGCTCTTTGGTTACGGCTGGATGGATAGATGATGATAGTGTACTGCCTAATGTCATTCAAAGCCTTCATACTCATCCTTTCAGAGGGTGGGGAAGAGTGGGGGGAAAAGGTGTCTGCTAATACCAGGCCCCCATGAAAGTTCTAACAACCAGGGCCTCTGAAATAGTCCTTGCTGCCATGGTGAGTATGAATGGAAAGTGCCAACAGTCAGTAAGGGCAGAGTGCTGGAAGGGAACTGACAAGCTGGAGGATAAAATTAAAATGAAGAACCTGAGCTTGTTCTAGAAGAATATGTGGAAAGATCAATGTCATAGGCTTACATAAGTGGAAAAAGATTAAAAAAAAGGAATGAGGTATAACCTACCTTACTAGGTTCTTTTTTAAGGGTAATTGTAGGATCATGGGATGCCTCAGGTTTGAAGAGACCTCAGAAGGTCATGTAGTTCAGCCTCCTGCTCAAAGCTGGGCTACCTCTGAGATCAGATCGGGTTACTTAAGACTTTATCTAGACAGATCTTGACAGCCTGCAAGGATGTAGACTGCACAACTCACCTGAGTCTCAGTTCCAGTGCTTGACTCTCCTCACGATGAAAAGATGTGCCATATATTCAATCTGATCATCCCTTGTTTCAATTAATGCCTGTTACATCCAATTCACGAGGCATCAAAGAGCCCCTTGACAACTTCCATTCCAGGTACTGTAAGGTTCCTGTTATGGGGTCCCCTCTAAAGCCTTCTCTTCTCCATGCTGAACAAGCCCCATTTCCTCGGTGTGTTCTTACAGGAAAAGTGCTCCAGCCCTCTGAGCATTTTGGAGGCTTTCTGTTGAACTAATTCCTGTTGATGAGTAACTTCAGGTACTGGAGGACCGAAGGCTGGATGCAGTGTTTTGAATGTAACATTTCTTAGTTTTGACCAGTAATGTTCTTTTATCCTTCAGGTGCTGGATCTCATCCCTTGGAGAGAAGCCAGATCAGTGACTAGATCTGTTCAGACTGCCACAGGTGGAGAAGTGGAGCTTATCAGAGACTCCAGATTCTCTTGGACTTAATCTTTTAAGCTTTGATAAACACAAAAGTGGTAATGTGGAGAAGTCCCTCCCCCACTTTCTGTTCCTCTGCATCCACATCAGCCTGATTGTCTCCTTTCTCCCTCTTGCCTGAAGCCTTCAGGCCTGCATTGGTGTGCAAAGCCCATGTGGGGCATGGTGTAGAGCATCTCTGAGCTCTAGTGCCATATCTATATTAATGACAAAGTGTTATTTATATTTTCTTTTTAGAAGTGACTGTGTTAGCTCTTCCTGAGAGGTAACATAGTGTATTAAATAAGCCAGGCTATGTGTAGATGCTGTTATCTCCTACTTAAAGGAGTCCAGCCTTTGATAAGCTCAGGACTACACCTGCCTTAGAAACCAGATAGCACCTTGAAGTAAAATAGTCCAGAGAGATACAGCTGCTCACATATTGACTATTCCTAGTAGCAAATACTAGTAGCCAGCAAGTTATATGGTAGATTTGGAGGGAGATAAAGCATTGGACTGTATCCTTCCTTTCCCACCTCCACCAACCTCCTTTCATGCTGCTCTGATAATTTGGCTAGGAAGGGCCTCCTGCCATTATGATTAGTTTTAACAGAGTGGGGGTAGGGAAACGGGTTGCTCAGAATGCTCTCATTCCCACTTCCTGCTAAAGCATGGACCTCTCTGTACCTTCTGACTGGTGAAGATTGCTGGGGACCCCTCAAGTGTATATTAGAAGGAAATGCTTGAAAGGGCAATAGCTTTTGTAGGTAATGAATCTTACCTTCCACAGACGATTTTTCAGGCACTCATAGCCCTTATTATGGTTGTTCCCCAGTGAGAAATGCTGGCATATGCAGAAAAACAGAGCTTGCAGGGGGCTTATAGCTTGCCTTGCTCTTTTTGTTAATAGGTCAGATGGTATATTTTTTCCACGTAGGCTGCAAGCATACCTAATGAAATTAGTATTTTTCACCTGCTTTATATATGTGGGAAAGTGAGAACTTGCTTTAGTCAATGTTTCCTTTTCTTGCTGTGGTTGATGCAGCTTTCATAGATCAATCTCTTTTAAAACTTCATTGGGCCCAGCCAGTTGCGCTTCCTTTGTGAGTTGTATACAGGGTGCTTTCTGTACCTCATTAGTCTGGGCACATACTTCTTTTCTTGTTCTTATACTAGTGGTGGTGTTTGTTATCATGAGATAATGTACATCATCACTTTTAATAGCAATTGTTTCCTGTGGAAACAGCGGCTTCTGAGTAAGAGGCTACCATAGCATGGTTTAAATTGCCTGTCATGCTGCATGTGCCTGAGGACACAATGTCATC